GGCGGACAATAAGACTTTCTCAATATGCAGACGAGGAATATGATGAGTATAAGTGCCAAACAACAGGAGGCGAAGATCATTGTAATCTTATAGATTTGCATCGCTGTGTTCGGGTCTGCGGTCAACAGAATATAATATTGTTTTAATTGACGTCAATTGTCATAAGACAACAATCATAGTTACCATTGCTGTCGTCCACACACATGAGTTTAGTGGAGTCGAAGTCAAACCATTTGCCTTCTGGACAAATACATCCCTTTTCCTCATTCTTTGTTTTACGAGTAAAGCATTTGAGTCCGAGAATGGACTCACAATCCGATGATTTCGTACAATTTGCGTTAAATTGTCCTAAAATTGTATTACAGTTTTAGACATTAATCGACGAGTTTTTCTATTATTCACTAAATATTTTAATTTACAAATGCAATTTAATTTAAATTTTAAAAAGTTGGATAATTAATATTGCCACTAATATACTGTACGGTATATATTAAGTAGTTTATTCAAATGTGTTTTGAAAATAAATTAATCGACTATATTATTTAACAATATTATTATGGTTAATAAATTCTATAATAACGAATAAATCTAGAACTAGATTTATAATGTACTTTTACAAAAATGATTTTATTAAAATTGTTAAAAATTCTGGCAGCCAACAAAATTGAATAAAAATAACAAAACATTGTGGTAAAAAACTAATTTTACATTGTTAAAAATCTAACAATGGGCAAATACCTTTGCATTTAATCCTAGGTTGTATTGAATGGATGCACATGGTAGTAGTTTCATCAATTGGACAACAAAGGTCTTGACCATTGCAATTTGATGTTTTATTATAACATTTTATATATGTATTATAACCATCAGTATTGCCGATATTCTTATGTATATATTTTGTGGACAAATAGGAATTGGTGTGAAATAATGAGCTAAAATTTTGATCACTATTTTGCCAATCATTAGATGTGAATGGATTTAAAGTCTGATTCTCACCGAATGTTACACTAATTAACGCATGTATTAAAATGTAATTAATTAACGTTTTATTTAAATACTGAGACATGTTTTAACAACAATATACTCTATATAGTTTCACCATAAGCACACCAACAAAAAAAATATATACACAATACAATTAATACTCTATTTTACGTGTGTTACAAAATTCAATGCTAAATGTTTTTGAAATAATAACTTTTTAGTTGAGAATTACATTTAGTGTTTTGTTTTTTACATTTATTGCATTGAAATAGACATATACTGCACAAAACATATCGTGATATAACTTTCTGCATTACAATCAATCCTTTTTACGGGTTTGCTATAGAAATTTATCGTTAGGTCTGAAAACACATACAACACTGTTATGACGATTAAGATAAAAACTATGACAAAAATACTAAATGATATTCTGAGAGCAATTTTATTTAGTTATTGAGTGTTTGTATATCGAGATAATTAATAAAATCTATCTCTCATTGAATGCCTTGTGTTTGTGTTGAGCTCTCATACGGATAAGTATTAATCAATGCTATTTACGATTTGATGAAATAATTTTTGTTTAGCAAATGCATTGAATTAATGAAATGTATATTAAAAGTGGAGATATCTATAATCGGAGCAAAGAATTGTATTCCGGATTTTAATACAATATCATATGTAATGAGAAGTGAATGTAATAATAATTATTCATATTTCATAAAGTTTTTTAAATTAAAATTTTTATTTTGACTCTCTATTGAGAGATACAGTAAATAAATGATAAATAAATCAAAATAAATATCAAACACTTGTCGTAGAAATATAAGCAAAGATCAAATTCCTGTTTGCGTTAATCCTTTCAAAACTGATTGCAAATATTATTCAACACAATATACAGTATAAATGAGTCATTAATTTCATTGAGATTTATGGTTATATAATTGTCATACATGTTATGAAAAGTAAAATTTAATTTAATCATCTCAAAAGATACACACTATCAATAATCAAAGTACTGTTATTTGCTACAATATTTTCTATAAAATAGTTAATAAATAAGTTTTAAAATGTTAAATTTATGTATTTAATAATATTTATCGTCATAAATAATAGATAAATTTTGAATAAGATAAATAATAATCAATAAATGAATTTAAGTTAAATGTTCATGTTGTTCAATAAACGTTCTAGTCTAGATTCTAGAATCTAGAACTTCTAGATAGTTTATTTTATTTTAAACTCAAACTTTCAAACGTAACTTATGTTAACTCAAAATTGATGTAAAACAATGGTTTATACAGTTTATGATCGTTTAATTTCACAATATTTACTAAATTAATTAATTGTTAACTTTGCTATAATTAACAACTAATCAATGTTTATGCCAATCAAATAGCGGCTCATATTAGCATCGCTCTAATGGGCCAACACTTACAACAGTCTTACAATTGCACTAATAGTTTATGAAAGCGAGAGTAGTCCACTGTTAATAATAGTATTTCTAATTTTTAAAAAACTTTTGTTTAAGCCTTCAATTGCTTTCAATTGTCGTTAAAACATCCAGTTTTCTAGATTTTGTGGTTATTTAAGCAAAAACATTTCATACACTGGACATCCGGCAGATGTCGTTAGTGTTA